ACGCATCGTTGCCGTCGGCGTAGAGAACATCGGGATCCACATTGAGCCGCATCGCCCATGCATCGGCGATGCAGAGCGATCCTCCGACCCCATCTGCTCGGACCCCACTTGGGAGGCCTGGAACCTCTGGCCGGGTTTTCGGCGGGTTACTTTTGTTCCTTGATTTCGGCCCCCACGGGGAGCCATTTGCGGGTTCTGCGACGCTGGTCCCGGTGAAGGGGTCGGGACTTGTGGGGACCGAGCAACTCTGGGCTCCAAAGGGCGCCGTGCTTGTACCAGCGCCTTTGCTGGCCGTGGCCAGGCCCGTCCTGGGTCCAGGATCGATGCTCACGCCTGCCTGGCTTGGCCAGGAAGGCGCATGCACCCATCCGTTGCGCGGGGACGGCCTGGCCAGGCTCGACGTTAGTGTGTGCCTTATGTCCCCCGGCAGGAGTGCGTCAGATACCCTCGGCCTCCACCTTCCAGGCCTTCTTTCGCGGCCGCCACCGCCGACGTTTGGCAGAGGCGGACGCCTCGGCCGCCGTTGCGGCTGCGGCCGCCGCCGCCGCCGCGCGGCGCTCGCCGAGCGGAAGCTCGGGGGTGCACGCCTGCACAGATCTGTGCCGGGCCAATCCGAGGCCCAGGGTCGGCGCGCACGCCTTCCAGAGACTGCGCAAACGCGTGGAGGGAGCACGCCAGCACACTGGCCCTGAGCCTAGAGTAGGAGCTCGACCGCAAGAGACCGTCCACGAGAAGCCCAACCCTGAGACCCCAGGACGTCCGTTGATTGTGGTGTGCGAGCGTCATGCTTTCCATACCAAAACCATCGAAAGCCAAGAAACCCAGGGCACCCTGGAGGCAAGCAGGGTGTTTCTTGGCATGGGTTTCTACTGTGAGATATTGGCCGGAAGGGTTGGCGTTGGGTGCCGCGGGCGTCCCCAAAACACCTCCAGGAAGCCGGCGGCCGCGTGGGCGCGGTAGCCCGCGTCGCCGACCACGAGGGGCACCGGAGGCGGGTCTCCGCGCATAGCCTTCGTGTGTGTTGCATCTTCGGGGGACCTCGTCTGACCCATCGCGCCAGCCATCCGTGTCGCATCCGCGTCGAATGCACGTCGAACGCTGTCGAATCCGTTTCGACTCCGTGCCGAAACCGTGCCGCGTCCGCGTCGAGGTGACGTAGCATCTGCAACGAGCCCACGCCGGAGCACAAGAAAAAACTGCCATCTACACTGAGGGGCAACGATAGGGGGGGACTGTTATAGGGGGGATGCATCGACCTGGAATCGGCGTTAGATCGGCGATAGGCCCCCGATAGTGAATCCGCACCTTCCCATGCAGGTTGGGGCCATCGGGCCCCTATCGGCGATCCATGGACCAGTCGGGGTCCATGATACACAGGGCAGGGAGAGGTCCCCCGACGATGCAGAGCAAGCCTTCCACAGGTTCTCCAGGAGCCAGAAGTCCGCGTCGCTCTCGAGGTTCATGCCGCAGACCCGTCGGATCGCCTCCCGCCGCCGGTCTCCGCCGACCCCTGGCGCCACGAAGACCAGGTCCGGGTGGAAGCCGGACTGCAGCACCCGGACCATGGCCGCCTGCTCGTCGCGCTCCTCCTCCCTCTCGACCTCTGCGGGCGCGGGTGGTGCGCTGAAGCGCGCGCTCAGCTTCTCCTGGACCTTGGCGTCCACGGCGGCCAGCTTGGCCCTGCGCCTCCTGCCATTCTTGATGCGGGAGTACCGGCGCCACAGCTGGAACTCGTACTTGCGCGCGTAGACCTTCATGGCGGCGTGCTTGCGCACCAAGGCGTCGTCTGGGCCGTGCAGCGCCTCTGAAAGAACCAACAGGTACCGATACAATCGCTCCCTGGACCTCTCCTGGGGTGCGTTCTGACGATCTGACCAAGATTTGGAAGCGAATCCAGCGGTGGCGACGACGGAGGCCCAGGAGGCCCCAAACAGGGAAAACGAGGGAAGGGTAGAGGTATGGGTACCTCTTCCTCCTCTGAGCCTCCTTCACAAGCTCCTCCCTCGTCTGCCGCCACCACAGCTGGTCGAAGGCAGCCCGGCCGGCCCCCCTCTGCGTGAACAGCGGCGACACCTCCGGCTGCTCCGAGAAGCCACAGGCGGTCTTCTCGAGCAGGACCGCGGCGGCCCTGACTAGCCGCGCGGCAACGTACTCCCTGTCGTCCTCGCTGGGCGCCACGGGGAGCGTAGGCAGCGGCAGGCTCAGGGGCAGCACCTGGTGGGCCCATGTTCCACCACCACTACCATAGGTAGAAGAGGGAGGGGGAGGAGGAGGAGGAGGAGGAGGAGGAGGAGGAGGAGGAGGAGGAGGAGGAGGAGGAGGAGGAGGAGGCGAGGAGGAGGAGGAGGAGGAGGAGGGGGATGGGGAGGAGGAGGAGGAGGAGGAGGAGGAGGAGGAGGAGGAGGAGGAGGAGGAGGAAGACCTCCTCGTCCTCCCTTCTCCAGCGTCCTATCCTATACATGGTAGCGGTGGTGGAAAATTTGCCCAGTAACACCCGCCCCGGCAGCGCCCGGCCCAACCGGGTGCGGCGCTCGCGGAAAAAGGCCAGCTCCCGCGACACCTCTAGACAAGCGCGTTCCACTACTCGCAAAGTAGCTACCCGCACCGGGAGATTCACGATCCAACGCATAAGGCAAAACATGTTTTTCTCGGACGTTTGCGAGTAGGCACTTTGCGAGTAATTAGCGGAACGCGCTCGGTGAACCTCGGGGCCGTCCTCCAGCGCCGGTGCGCCCCCGGCCTCCAGCCGGTCCACGAAGGCGTTGAGCTCCGCAAGCGAGCGCGCGTTGATGCGGCGCGCCTCGTCGGGGAAGCTCGGCGTGAGGTCGGGGTGGACGGCGCGGATGGTCGGACACCGGCAGCCTTGCACCAGTGTACCAGCCCTTGACAGGCCCACCCTGGGCCCTGGGCTGGGCTGGAGTATAGATCTCCAGCGCTAGGCCACGAGGGCCCGTACGGAGTCCGAGGCCCAGCGTGGAGATCCGACTGTCGCGCAGGAAGTGAGTACGCGAATGGAGCTCTCGACCCCGTTTCCGTGCGTCCCGAAGCGGATCGATCCGCTGGTCGTGCCCAGTTGCCCAGAGGCAGGAGACCGGGCGAAAACGCAGAGCGCGAGGAAATCGGTTCACGACCGCGAATGGACAAGGCCAGGGCTCGGCCCAGGGCCTCCGACGTCGCGATGTGTCCAGCACGTGGACACCGGCCCTCTCGAATCCCTTCTCGGTAATTGTTTCCCATCGCGGAGAATTCTTCATGGTCATGGGGCCGGCGACCCGTCGGGAGAACTCGCACTGCCACAAAAACCGCTGAGCTGTTCCAGATGATACGGCGGGCCCTGGCGACACGCTGTGCCATGCTCGGTGACAGCGTGTCCCTCCGCTCCGCGGGGCGGGAAGGGCTCAGGAAGGCTCGGGACGTGGGCGCTTGGGAACCGAGGAATGGGCAGTCAGGGGCGGCCAAGAGAAGGGCGTCCAAGAGGGGGGGGGCGCAAATCATGGCCGGCGGCGCGTGCGTTGCCGCAGGGGGGGGGGCTCGGGACATAAGGAAATGACATCTGAGGAACGATCATGGCCCACGCCATGATATCCACCCCCCTAGTCTTTGGTCGGGCATGTCCCCCTACAGGCGGATTTGGGACGAAAGAAAAAAATACTCCAACAATACTCAAATATGGCCAAACATAGTATTACAAAGAATCGTCCCCCGACTATGCTTTGACTATGTTTGACTATTCCTCCTGTAGAGGGACGGGCCCGACTTGACCCCAGTCATCACCCCCTCTCTGCCGCCCTCGAGGCAGAGCGCCGCGCCGAAGCGCGGTGGGCCAGAAGCGGGCGGAGCGACACGCGGCCCAAGAGTTCCCGGCCGCAGCGTGCAGAGGAGGAGGATCGGCGGCCTCGGCCCGCCTCGTCGTCCTCGCCGTCGCGTCCCCGGTCTCCCCGTGGCCTGCCCCTGCTCGGCGGCGGACACACCTCCCTGTTGCATACCTCCAATTAGGGAAAACGACCTAAGACCGGAAAAGATGACGGCCGCGACGCCCTCTCGCAAAACGGAAACGGCAAGTTCGCTAATCGACGTGTCAGGGTAGGAGGTCGATCAACCTCCGATCTACTAAACTTAGGTCGGGCATGTCTTCCTACGGGCAGATTCTGGACGAAAAATGAAAAGTAGTCCAAAAGTACTCAAACATAAGCAGAACGGCCGACAGATCTTCCCCCGACTATGTTTTGAATAGTATTGAATATTCCTCCTGCAGAGGAGCATGCCCGACTTAATACTAAACCAACTTGTCCGCCAAGTCTGCGTCTGTGGATGACCCATCGTCTGCCCTCTGCCATAAAGCTCAGGGGGTGGGCGAAAGCGACGACCAAGACCAAGAAGGAGCGCGAAGTCGTCGGTGCCGATCTTGTTCAGCATCCATCTTGGCCACCGTCGATGTGTGGACCATCCTCGCGAATCGGCGTCGGCTGTCATGGACCATGGGCCAAGATCGGCGCCGACAAGATCCCGCGCCATCTTGGCCCTGAGGCCTCCTAAATGGGGTCCGACTAGATGGGGTCGGAGAATCGCACCGCATCCGCAATGCATCGCCGATGCATCGGAGATGCATCGACGTCATTGGCGTGGACAACGACGGGCTTCAGATCGAGCCGCATGGTCGATGCATCGGAGATGCGAAGCGATCCTTCCACTCCATCTGCTCGGACCCCATTTGGGAGGCTCAGATGGTCGATCGATTCGTAGAACATCTTCGCGAATCGGCGACAGCTGGCATGGACGCGGACCAAGGTCCGCACCGACAAGATCCCGCGACATCTTGGCCATGGTCACTTTTTTTTCACTCGAGCGTCATCGTTGTCGACCAGACCTCTGAAGCAGGAGGGGTGAGATGGGCCTCTGGATGCTCGACCTCAGAGCAGGCGGGCGTCGTGAGCTTTCGCGACGCCAGAGGCCTTGCCCCCGAGCTGACTCCCAGCGCGGATCCAAGACATCCGCGCGAAGCGCCAAACCTTTATGTTTATTGTGTTCAGCATCATGGTATCATTATTCCCAGATTCATTCTAACTATTACTACAATTACTAAAATCATAATTTTCGTATGCCTTTCATTATTATTAGTATTACTAGTATTATTGTTATTATTATTCTTGTTAGTATTAGTATTGTTCTTACCATCCGTCTTCTTGGACTATCGCCAGTTGCGTCGGCGACGCGGCGCGATCATGCGACACCACCTCCTCGGGCCCCACAGCTCGGAGGTATGGACTCTCGACGCTCGCGCCTCCTCGCCGGGGTGGCGCCCGGCTGCCGGCCTCCGACTCTAAAGTCGCCCAGGAGCCTCCGCACCCCGGCGACGCCGCGGGCGCCCCGCGCCCGCGGCGGCAGCGCGCGCGGGCGCGGGCCGCCCGCGGCCAAGCGGGCGGCCGCCAGCGCCGCGGCGGCCATCGGCCGCGCGCGCGGCAGGGCCGAGCGCCTCGGCAGGGGCTCCTTGGGACGGGCGCAGCACGGGGTTTTGCTCGTCGGCGGCGAGGCAGAGGCAGTCCGCTCCAGCGCGGGGCGAATCGGGGCAGCCGAGAGGCAAAGTGTCCGGCGCGCAAGAGGGAGAGGCGGAGACGAGGGCGGCCGCGCGAAGGGAGGAGGGAGAGGGCGCTCAGACGCAGAAGCGTTCCGCGGTGAGAGGGCAGAGGCGGCCAGCCAGGGCAGCGGGGGAACACAGCCGACCAGATTATCCAAAAGGTATCGTTCAGGAGAGCTGGACCCACTACCCACACATCAGGACGTTCAGGAGATCAAAGAGTTATCGTTCAGGAGAGGAGAGTTGAAGCTTCTGAGTGCACACATCTGGACGCTGGAGGGGCAAACGTGGACGCTGGATGGGCGAACGTGCTCAAGAATCTGGGCCGGCTTTCGGGCAAGGTTATGAAGAACCGCTGGCCCGACTGATCGGGAGGACGTGTCTTAATCCGATGCTCGGTTGTGGCAAGACGAAGACGGGACAGGGACAAAATCAGACCGGGACAAATCTCACGAGCGGCGAGCGTAAACGCCCTCGCGGTCTGGATTCCACTCTGGCGGCTCTGGAGGACGTGCTAAGCGCCGCAGCCGCTCACAAGCGTTGTGGAAAGCTCTGAGGGCGTCTTGGAACGCTCTTGAGCGATGCATCGCCCCGTCCTGGCCCCGCCCGAGGGCGCCTCGGCGGCGGCCGCGGCCCTCGGCGGCGGCGGCCAAGGGGGGCCCCGGCGACGGCGGCGGCCCCAGCGGCGGCACGGCTCATAGAGGCATATCTCACCGAGGAGGGGGGAGGCGAGGCGAAGCGAGGCGCCGACACAGGGTACCGAAGGGCGGCCCCGTGAGAGCAAACGGCGGTTTGGCTGGAGCCCAGGAGGCACTTCGGCTCCCAGTGCGAGTCGCGAGCGGGAGAGCTTGCGGAGGACGACGACGACGACGATGACGACGACGATGACGACGAGCGACGTCGAGGGCGAGGGCGAGGAGGAGGAGGCAGGCAGGGCCAAGGGGCCTCATCAGAATGCCTGGCCTCTCTGAGGCCGTGCTGCTGCTCTCGCACCTCCTGAGGCCCTCCTCAAGGAGGACCCATAGGAGGAGGATCGGGGAGGAGGATCGAGGAGCGAGGACAGGAGGAGGTGGATCGAGGGGAAGAGAGAGATCGAGGAAGGGATCGAGGAGGAGCAGGAGGATCGGGGCCGTCACAGAGGGCTGCCCTCCTGCAGCGCCGAGCCCGTCTGCTCGTGGCCAGCTCCCCCTCCTCCCTCGAGTCGGACCTGCTGGGGAAGGGCGGAGCCCTGGCCAGGCCCGTCCGGGGCCACGGACTGGATTACAGTAGGAGCTCGACCACACGAGACCTTCCTTCTCCTCCTTCTCCTCCTCCTAATCCTCCTGTTCCTTCTCTTTCTCCTCCTCTTCCTTCTCTTCCTCCTCCACACAAGAACCCAACCCTAAGACCCCAGGGCGACCCTTGATTTCTGATGTGGGAGCGTCACGCTTTTGAAATAGTAGAACCATCGACACCCAAGAAACCCAGGACACCCTGGAGGCAAGCAAGGTGTTTGTTGGAAAGGGTTTACACTGTACGGTACGGTGGGGGCATGGGACAAGGAACCCTCAGAGAAGGAATTCAGGGTCTGGACACTGGTGGAATTTCAATCGTGGGTCGGCCGTTGATATCACCGCCGCACTCATCAGGTCAGGAACCCTGCAGAGTATGCAGCCTCTTGGGCACATTCCTTAACGAACGCCCCCACCGTATGGTCGTGTCGTGACGGCCCCAGCTTTGGTTTCTCACGCCGCGCGGACAGTTCGACCTTGAACGATCGGCGGCTTCCAAATCTCCGGATCCTTCCATATGGGCATATGGGTCGCTTCTGGGCCACTCAGCGTTCAACTTAGCTGGGGTCGCTACCAACGTCGGCACGATACGAACCTGCCGTAAAGACACTCCCAACCTAGACAGGCCGTTCGGAAACGGCTGGTAGGAGCATGCCGGAAGAGGGCGGTCAACGCAGAAATGAATCCAACGCGCCGATGTAGCAGATCAGGACCTGGGCTTCCCGCAATTACCTGAATCCGAAGCCGGACTTCGCACATGTCCACCGCCTGTAGAGAGCCGATGTCCCAGGACCCAGGGAGGCAATGAATGTCAATCTATTTGTTGTCCCTAGGCGATGGATCCACCACCGTGGCCCCTGGCATGTTGAGGCGTGGCAGGATGCCAAGTGCTGTGCGTCGGGATCCACCAAAAACGGGGGCCCTGAAGGGGGCGTGAATGCCATCCGCTGGTGCACCGAACCGCCGCAAACAGATGCCCCCCGCATGCTCCACCTATCGGCAACTTTCGGGAGCTGCTGACGGCTGGAGGGCATCTGTTTTGGGCGGTTCGGTACAAAACACCGATCGAACTCTCACACACACACACACAGGGCACACACCCCTTTTGCGGGATCCCGAGTGTGGTAGGGCTTCTGTACGTAATCTTCTACGGTATGTCAGCCTGTCTACCGGGGCTCTCCAGGGGACCCGATGCCTCTCCTGTGCGCTTCCAGGCTCTTCAAGGCTGCCAAGACGACCCAGGAAGGCCATCAAGGCCTCCGAGATAGCTCAACACTGGCCCAAGAGGCACCCAGCAGCGGGACCCCCAAGACTGCCCCAGAGGAGCCCAAGACAGCCACAAGACGGCCCAAAGCGGCTCCCTGAGAGCTGCTGCAGAAGAAGGCGGCGAGAAGCGTGACGGGTGACGGCCTCCCAGGCAGTGCTCGAGAGATTGCCACGCAGAGCGCTTCGCCACGCACACTGCCCGATTTGCCGCAGGCATCTGGCCACCCAAACTTTTTTCGTCGGCGGCGAGGCGGGGCAATCAGCTCCAGCGTGGCAGCGATGCAGGGGCACTACACAGCGGATTGGCCCGCATGCAGGAGGGGGAGGAGGAAAGACGAGGCGGCCGCGGGGGGGAAGGGAGGGCTAGCACTCAGAAGCGGAAGACTTCCGCCGCCGGAGCGGGCGGCGGGGGCGGCGTCCGGGGGGCCGGAGCGCCGGCCAGCTGGCTACCCAAACATGCGATGCCGTGAAATTTTCAGTATGGGGTCCCTAGGGGGTCCCGACCCTTTCCCCGGGACCGGTGCTTCATCGCGGATCGTTTCTTGACGGTACTGGGGCCTGGCGAGGGCCCTCAGAGGCCAAAAACGGCCTGGAACCTCCCGCCGTGATTCTTGTCACGACGCGTGCAAGTCGGGGTGCGTATGTATACATATGTATATATATATACATATATTATGTCTGTCTGTCTGTCTAACTGTCTGTCTGTCTGCCTGCCTGCCTGACTGACTGTCTCTCTGTCGGTCCGTCTGTCTGTCTGTCTGTCTGTCTGTCTGTCTGTCTGTCTGTCGGTTTATCTGTCTGTCTGTCTGTCTGCTGCCTGCCTGCCTGCCTGTCTGTCTGTCTGTCTGTCTGTCTGTCTGTCTGTCTGTCTGGCTGTCTGTCTCTGTTGTGCATGCATGCATGCATGCACGCATGCATGCAAGTACGTATGTACATCTGCATGTACGTACGTACGGACGTACGTGTGCATGAATGCATGCATGCATGCATGCATGTGTATGTGTGCATGTATGCATGCATGCATGTACGCATGTATGTATAATTGTCTGCGTGTGTATATAGACATATAGATCCATCCAACGAGCGGCCTGCAGGCCAGGAAGGTCCCCCCACGGGCCCAGGGGCCCCGCTGGAGCCGCAGGTGGCGTGCAGCTGCCGCCTCCTGGTCCTGGCCAGGACCGACGTCTGGACTCCAAGCACGGCAATGTGCCCCAACACGCGGGGCACTCGGCCCCGGCAGCCGTGTGGATCCCGCGCCGCTTTGCTTTCAAACCAAAAGCAGCCCTCGCGGCCATGCCTGGTGAATCTATCCTCTGATGTGCTGTCTTCCAGCTGTGCATTCGTCTCCGCTCCTCGGCAGCTGGATGCTGTCTGCTCATAGCCTTAAACGGCGTCCAGGCCCAGACGCACTAACAATAATCCATACGGAGGTTGCTCGTTGTCTTTGGCCTCAGGGGGCCCTCACCGCGCCCCGGGACCGTCAGAACACGACTCGGGGCACCAAACCAGCCCTGGGGAGAGGCAGGAGAGCCCCGAAAGGGTCGGGGCTTCTGGGGACCCCGCGGTGACAAAATCCGCGGACCCCTGCGCTTGAGATTCTTCCCCCCCCCCGTAATCTCCCCCCAGGGACCCTACACTGGCAATTGAATCCCGGCCCCTGGCCTTGGCCGAACGCGGCAGGGGGGACAGGGCTCCCCGACGACCCATGAGGGCCCCAAGACGCACCCAAGACTGTCCAAGAAGGCACCGAGTCGCTGACAGAGCATTCCGAGACGCTTACGATGGGCTCCAGATGGCCCAAGATGCCCCCAACACAACCCACAAATCCTCAAAGACGCCTCCGAAGATGCAGAAATCGTTAAACCCCCCTTGAGACACATTTTTAGCATATACGTCTCGTCGGCCTTCCCTGCGCTGAAGACGGCCCAAGAAGCCCCAAAGACTGCCCACAAAGGCACCCAGGAGAGCCCCAAGACGAACCAACGGGGCCCCAAGAAGCCCAAGAAGCGCCCAAGACACCCCAAGAGAGCCCCAAGACAGCCCCAAAAGGGCGCAAGAGCGGGAAACCGAACCGACAATTCGAGCTTTCTGGCCCAAGATGCACCCAGTAGACCTCAAGAGGCCGCCAAAGGGCTCGAAGAGGCCTCCGAGAGGCTCCCAAGACACCCAAGAGGCCCCAAAACGAGCCCCCCCCAAGAGGCTTCAGAATTGCTTCCAAGAGGCCTCACAAAATGGTCCTAGGGAATTGGTCGGGAAGAACACCTCCAGATGGTGCCAGAGGCCTCCACGACGGCCCAGAAGCTTCTAAAACAGCTCCGCGAGAGGGCCCTGACAGGAACGCCTCAACGGACATCTCGGGCCCTTGGCTTCGAGCGGGGGGGTCCGAGCGGGTTCCAGGCCCCGAGAACCCTGGAGGCCCCCAAGAGGCCCGAAGAGTCCCCGACGACTCTTCTGGGGGGAAGTCCCAAGAGGCACCCAAAAGCTGCTACAAGACTCCCACGGACCACTCCATTGCCGGCTCCCCAAAAGAGCCTCCCAGACACTCCGACGAGACCCCGGGAAGCTTCCCTGAAGACCCTGACCCACAACCCAGAAAGCGTAGAGGGATGGCCCGAAGGCCACTCGATATTTGACGGCGTGGGAGTCCGCACAAAGCCTTCTCCTCGTCCTCCTCATGCTCCTCCCTCTCCCCCGTCCTCCTCCTCCTCCTCCTCCTCCTCCTCCTCCTCCTCCTCCTCCTCCTCCTCCTCCTCCCCCTCCCCCTTTCTGCATTACCCTTCTCATAATCGTCGCCCTCCCTCTTGCTCTCCTGCAGATCCTTCTTCCACGGATTCGATACGTGTAGCGCCATTGCAGAATCCATTTCCAAAATGGTCACCCGAACGGGCTTCGCTTGCAGGACTTCAGGGGTCGGCGGATGCGGCGCAAGCCTATAAAATCAGCACACATTGGACTACCATGTGGGACCTGCTCTAGAACAGGGGCATGGCATAGACGGGTCTACCCTTTCTCCAACCTTGTACTGCTACGAGCGCAACGGACGCGTTGTCTATAGACGCATCCACCCCCAATGCGTCTGCAAGCGTCGCGGCACCCAGTGTGCCCATAGACGCTTGTGGCTGGAACGTGAGCACGGCATTTGGCCTCGGCCCGAGACCTCGGTGCTCTCGAGGCAGGCAGGCTGGGCCCTCCAAGGCACACGCGCTCCGACAGGTCCGCCGTCTGGGACTCCTGTCAGGGGGGGTCCGGGGCCCCCACCTCTCGCTGGGGGGGGGGGGGGGCGCTCTCTGCTGGCCGACCCCGAGCAGCGGCCCGCCCAGCCCGCTGCACCAGCAGCGGCCGTCGTGAGCCTCGCCCTCGTCGTCGCCGCCGCGGACGCCACCGTTCTGACGTCGCCGTCAGCACGTTCGGTACGTCGCCGTGGTCGTCGGCGGCCACGGGAGCCACGCCAGCCTGATCCGCAGGAGCGGCTTCGGTCTCACCGCCCGCCCCGCGCTGCTCGACAGCTCCCAAGACGCACCAGCACCCCGGCTGGCCCCAGACCTCTGGCGTCCGGAGTGTCTGGCCTGCTCTGTGTGAGCCCAGACCCTCCGGGTCTCCCCTCCGAGGCCTGGGGCCCCACGAGACGAGCACCCGCGACATCCCAAAGCAGAGGAGGGGGCCGAGAACTCCGAGCCCCACGCCGTGGGAGAGACCGGGCCCCAGCGGTCCTCTCTGGGGCCAGGGCCTGGAGCGGCCCTCCGCGAGGACGGGGGCCGGCGTGTGGCTGCAGCGAACCCCGAGCCCACCGCCCGGCGTCTGTTTCAGCTCACTTCGGCAACAGCTGTGCGCATTTCATCTCCACAGGCCCCGACTGACGAGGGGCGGGTGGCAGCGGGGGGGGGCCTCCATGGGGGGCGCATCACAAGGGCTCTTCAGGGCCCTTTCTGGAGCCAGCAGGGGCCCAAAGGGAGACCTGGAGGGCCACGTGTGGGCCCTCGTCTCCACCCCCCGCAGTGTATAGGTCGCCGCCCCATTACCACCCGCCCGAGAAGACGCACGCTGCGCGACTCAGCCAGCACGCTGCGATCGTCTCTCGCAGGAGCTGCGCAGAAGATCGTCCTAACGTCGCAGCCCGCCCGCGGCGCTCAGCCTGGCCCAGGGGGCGCTGGCCCTCACGCCAGCATGGTCGCCTCCTCTCCACTCCTGGCAGGGTCTGGGTGTATACGGTAGGTTCCTGCGGCGTCGGCGCGTGCAGAGGTTTTTGACACCACGTCGATCGGCCAACCTTGAATCGATCGTGACCCCGATCGTTCAAGGTCGAATTCCGTCGGGTCCGGTGGCGTCGCCGTGTCCCTCGATGCTTCCGCGCCACAAGATTCAACCTTGAGTGCCTTCGCCGGCGTCGCCTGCGCGCAAACGCCGCATGAACCTACCGATTCTGCGTGTTTGGGTCGACCAGCGAGGTTGGCACACTAACGTCCCAGCGTCCTAAGATGAAGCTTCAGCGTTTATACACCGAGCTCCCTAGCCGACCCATAGGCATAGTTTGTACGTCGAGCCCATGCGACCTTCTGCCCTCGTCGTCGACGCACAAGAACTTGCAAAAGTCCGAGAATCTGTCCGCGCCTATCGGGTTGATGGCAAGAAACGCGCGCAGTGCACGAACGTTGCTCCAAACGTATGTTTTCTACCAAGCAGGCCTGGACCGTGACGACTCGGACGAATGAGAAAACAATCAAGGACGCTGCCCCACCATGCAAAAGTAATGCAACTCCTCCAGCCGGCCAGAACACCCTGCAGAACGACTAACCAAATCGATCCTCGATCGCCTGTCGTCGACGACGGCGACGGCGAAGCTTGCCTCACTTTAACAGAGCGGTGTAGGATGCAGACGCGGAGCGCTGCACTGGGACGCTGCAACCGACAGACTCGAGCGGCCAAGAACTTGGGTCACTGCTGGGGCTTACGAATGTCGCCTCCTAGTGGCCCGTGCCACGCCGAGTCTCCAAAGAAACCTGCCCCCGCTTGCTGGGAGTGAAGAAGGCGTGTGAGATGATTGGATACAGCCCCTCTCACGCTCCTCCTCCACCAGGGCCCAGAAACGCGCATGCGGGAGCGACTGCCAAGACAGACCACGAGCGCTCCGAGAGGCTCCCCAGGAAAGGCCCCCGAGAGGTCCAAAAATCGCGGATGCTCGCATCAAAAATTTAAGGAAATCTCAGCTTTCGGGCCTTGTCGGGCTTCCGACGCTCCCAGACGGCCCACGAGCGCCCCAAGATCGCCCGAAGACGGCCCAGGAGGCCGCCAAAGGGAGCCGCCACACGCCGGAAAGAGCCCCAAGACAGCCCCGAAGGCCCCCAAGACTGCCCCAACAGTACCCCAACAGAGCCTCATGAGGGGGAAGACGAAAAGACATTCTGAGCCATCTGCTCCCATATGACCCCCGAGACATCCAGCGATACCGCCAGCAAGAACCCAAGAGGCCCCCCGGAAGCTCCAGGAGGCCCCCGAGAAGCGCAAACGAAATCCCGAGAAGCCCCAAAATGCCCCGGAGAGACCCTGCTCCTCTTCGCTCCACCGTCTCCCCATCCTCGTCGATTGGATCGTCTACCTCTACCTTCTACCCTCTTCCCTCAACTCCTGCCGAATGATCCTCGACCTGCCCTTCCTCACAGACTATCAGTAAGCTATCCCCTTACTTTCCTCTACGTCCTCCTCCTCCTCCTCCTCCTCCTGCTCCTCCTCCTTTTCCTCCTCCTCCTCCTCCTGCTCCTCCTTCCCCTCCTCCTCCTACCCCCCCTGGTGAGGAGGACTCGCCATGGAAGAACGCGCTGCGAGGCGCCTGTATCGATCCCTTCCCGACCATACCACGACTACAGGGAATATCGGATCTCTTTAGTGGCCGAAGGCTGGTGCGATATGACGGCACGCAACGGCAGCATAACATCTTCGATGGGTTGCCCCACGTGAGATATTGCTGCCGTGCAGTACAGACCCACACTTCATGGTACATGTGTGATGGCAACGGAGGGTGCTGAAGAAACGCTGGCGCGCCCCTGTTTTGCTGCCAAGAACTTGGCGTTGTCTGAATCCGCCGAGTTCCGCTCGATGGGATTGCAAAGGCGTGTGAGATATTGGCCGTCCCCCTCCCCAACACATGTCAGCTCAGCATGACTGAAACGCGCTATCATGCACAACACTCTGGCCCATGCCCCGTACTATCAGCTTCCAAGCGCTCCTCACTTCGCCTGGGTGTCGGCGGCACGGCGCAAACCTCTGGGAGGGGAGGGTCGGGCCTCTTGGGGCTCTTTTGGGGCGGGTTTAGAGGGAGTCTTGGTCCATGTGTGGCCCCGTGTGCGAATGTGTCGCGTGTGTTGCCTACGTTCGGGGGATACAGCCGAAAATAATGTGGGGGCCAAACCGAGGGGGGTCCGCCACCCCCTGTAGACCACAGCCCCCCCCCTGTTGCCTGCCCGCGCCTCGTGCAGTCCTGGACCGCCGCTCTTCGTCCTCGACGCGCTTCCACTGCGCGAAGATGGGACCTGCCGTGTACTCGTCCAGACCCATGTCGCCGCCCTGCGCCTTCTTCCCTGCGAAGTTGCCCAGAAGGGATCCCGCACCAGCGGCCGCCGCGCCGACCATGTGCGACTTGTTGCCGCAGCTGATCACGCAGTTCTTGACGCCGATGCATGCAGGAGGCGCCTTGCACTTCTTGATGCACATCCTGAACATGACCTGGCCGCCAACGCCCGCGCCCGCCGCGGCTCCCAGCCCGGCCGTGCCCGACGGCCCCAGCTTGGCGAAAGGGTTGAAGAAGGAGGACGTCCTCGGAGGCCCGCCAAATGGGGTTTCCGAGCAGACGGTGTCGGAGGATCGCGCCGCATCCCCGATGCATCGCCGATGCGGCGCGGCCCTCCTGCCCAATCTGCTCGGACCCCAGTTTGGGAGGCATGGGCGTCTTCTTGCCGTGGGCGTGCGGCGGATGCACAGCGATGCCGACGTCGGCGTCACCAGCAGCGGGGTGGTCGAGCGCCTTTTTTCGGCGGCGAGCGAGTGGGGAAATGGGAGGGAGAAGGCCTTCTCAGAAGGCGGCGGGACTTCTCAGAAGCCCTCTGGCCTTCTGAGAAGTTGTTTATATATTCGGGGAAGGCTTAGAGAACTTCTCAGAAGGCTGGGGGACTTCCGAGCCTTTTGAGAAGGCCCGCCCCTTCTCACTTCCCCCCCTCGCCCGCCGCCGACAATTGTCGGCTGCACACAAGAATGACCCTATACTGGGGAGACCAAAGAATACCGATACCGTCTTCTACCCGGATTTCGAGGCGAGTAGGATTTCGAGGATTTCGAGGCGAATAGCAGTGGCGACGAGGGCCTCCCGAGAGGCCCCCAAAAAAACGAAAAACGAGGGAAGGGTAGCGGTATCGGTGCCGCGTCCTCCTCCGATAGGCAGGAGTGGCCTTTGGCGCGCGCGCGGCGTGCCAATCGCTGCGTGTGCAATGCGACGGTGGCGGCCAGCGTGCCTACAGGCTGGTCCCCCCGCGGTCCACTGGAAGCCGCGCACCAGGAGGTCACTCGGGAGAGGGGCCAAGTTCGCGCGCAACCGATCTCACGGTGACCCATGCGACCCCTACCGCTCAAGGATTCCCCGCCCCGCCCCCAGGAAGAAGCGGCGGGTCAGAAGGGTGTCGGATCCCTGGATGTCGCTCTGAACCTGCAGGCTGAGTGGGACGCACAGAGACATACTAGTACTATATGCCCTCCTTGGAGGCGCGCGTCCGACCCGAACATATAGTACACCCATCTTGTAGTATAACGTTTCCCGAGCGGTGTGGCCAGAAAGCGCCCGCCACGACGCATATTCCCCAATCAGCGCTTACACTGAAGGGTCCTAGCGGAGATTGAACGATTTGGCATAAGTGCCCGGTCGATCTCGTTAAACGGCTGCGTTCCCCGGTTCCCAGTTCCGGGCTCCTGGGTTCACGGTTGCTGGTTTCTGGCCAATTTCGGTGGGCGGCGGGGTGCACAAGTTTCCGGGTTCCTGGGTTCTTAGTCGATCTCATTGACGATCGGTCTCATCATCGATCTCACTACCGACCTCTCTATTGATCTCACAATCAATCCCACTATAGATCGCACGAGCGATCTCACGATCGATCTCACTATCGATCTCACTGAATCGACTTCGCGATCGGGCTCACGATCGACCTTACTATCGTCCTTACGATCGATCCCACTATCGGTCTCACTATCGATCTCAATATCCATATCACGAATTTTCAATTCATCCACTGATTGGGTTTTATGCTATATGGTTTCTCGGTGCGCGCGTCCCTGGGGGGACGACGAACACATAGTATTAGAAATATGTTGGGGTGACGCCGACTTATGGTTCGCGCGTGCAGCCGCTGGCCTCTGCCTCCTGAAAGGCCAGCTGCAGCGGCATCAGGCGTCGCACCGGCCGCGGACGGCCCTGGGCGGCGCCGCGCGGTCAGGGGGGCGGGCAGCCAGCTTGCTGCCAAGTGGCGATACTCGAAGAAGAACAAAGACGCATACAGCAGAGGTCAGTCCACAAGAAACTGCCACAGGAAACCCAACCCTAAGACCCCAGGACGTCCATGGACGTTTGGTGTGGGAACGTCACGCTCTCCATGGCAGAACCATAGAAACCCCAAAAGACCCAGGGCACCCTGGAGGCCAGCGTCGGCGACTACAGTCAACACGTATCATTAGGATGCGCGGTAAGGATGCAAGGGCCTTGGAGGGCCACGTCAGCGTGTTTCGAGCGAGGTTGACCAGCGAGAGTCGCTAAGGATGGGCCGAAGGGGCAAGGATGCAAGGGTACCTTTGGGAAGAAGCCCATCCTTACTATGCGGGCTGACTGTACATACAGAGGGTGCTCTACGATCGGACCAAGAAGGCCCCCACTGCAAACATAAACATTCGGAGGTCCGCACGGACTTCTTGGATCGGCACTGGCCCCCCCCTACCTGGCGCGCGGGGCGCCGCCCGGGGGGCGGGGGGGGGGGCAGCCCCGATAGCCAAGAGATCCGCGCGGAGCTCCCGGAAGTCTGCGTCGATGCTCTCCGAGGTAAGATCGGGGAGACGTAAGACTCGGGGTAGGGGGACTCGGGTTGGAGCTCAAGTTTTTTTACTGCAAAACGCGAGTTATGTGGATGGGTGGGTGGGTGGATTCGCTGGTACATAACATAACACGACGTTGCGCGCGCACTACGAACAGCATACCTGTGCGCTGAACAACAAGCGCTACTGCAACGGGTGTGGGTGAAGCGGAGGGCATTATGTTATCTACTGGGTGGGTGGGTGGGTGGGTGGGTTGGAGGCCACATAACGCGGGATATGTGTTCAAGTAAAAAATTCAGCTTGTGGCCCGACGGGGACATCATAAATTTGACACGACCCAATCCGAAATTTCACGCGGGCTCCCGCTGCAGACATCACCTGAAAACTGAACCGGCAGAATTCGGGACGGGCTCGTCGAAAAGCGTGGGCGAACCCGAGTTGTGAGTTACTCGAGTCCTACAGGCAACCCGTCTCATTAGGATACGCGGTAAGGATGCAGGGGCCTTGGAGGGCCACGATAGCGTTTTCCGAACGATGTTGGCCAGCGAGGGTCGCTAAGTATGGGCCGAAGAGGCAAGGATGCAAGGGTACCCTGGGAAAAGGTTGTCCATCCTTACTATGCGGGTTGACTGTACGTCTCCCCGATAAGAGGAGCTGGGCTGCGTGGGCTGCGCTTGCAGCGAGCCCTCTCGAGCCGCGCGAGCGCGTTTGCGGGGCCAGCAGTAAGGGGCAACCATGGGAGGGGATAGAGGACTAGGGGGGACACACCGACCTCGAATGGGCGAAACACAACGCCGATCGATCGGCGATAGGCCCCCGAGAGTGAATCCGGTTGGGGCGCTCGGGCCCCTACAGTCGGACCTAGGCCAGAATAACATCCCTCAAGAACATGAGACCCTCCGTCGGCCAAAACAAACAGAACACCAAAGGGTACCATCCCCAGGGTGCACAAGACCATCCAACAAGCGCGAAGAACACCAGGGCACCCTCCCCGAACCGACCTCGACCTTATACCTCGGCCCGACTGTACTGGCGATCCATGGGCGATCCTGGGTCGATGCCTCTCCCCCCCCCCCCGATCGTTGCCCCCGAAGCGGGGAGGCGGGAGGCGCGGGCGCCGGGAGGCGCGGGGGCCTGGCGGCTCCCCCGTCGGGGCGCGGCCCCACGGCCCGACGGCGATGGGCCCGCGGAGGGCCCGCGCGGCGGCCCTGCAGAGGCTGCGGACGGCGCACGCCTCGGGGCACACGGGCAGCGCATCGCATCGGGCAGGTGGCACGGATCGAAGGATTGAAAAAAAAAGATTGCAAAAAAGAAAGATTGCAAAAAAACGAAGGATTGCAAAAAAAAAACGAAGGATTGCAAAAGAAGGATTGCAAAAGAAGGATTGCAAAAAAGATGTTTTTGTTTGCAATCCTGCGGGCAGGTGGGCGCCTGCCCATCTGGGGTGCATCGCAGTGGGCAGGTGGGCGAAAATGGGCAGGGCATGGGGGCAAACGGGCAAACACGGGCGGATGCTGGCTTCGCGTGCATCTCTCCTGCATCGGGACGGAAGGGTACAGGATAGAGCAAAGGGCGGGGCAGAGGATCAGCTCACGCAGCTGGTTCTCTGGGCGTCTCCTGGCGCCGGGAGGCGCCATGCCTCGAGGGATGGGCCCGGCGGTGGGGCGGAAACCAGGCCCTGTCGTCCGGTCCGACTGTACAGGCCTCCCGAATGGGGTCCGAGGAGATGGTGTCGGAAGATCATGCCGCTGCATCGGAGACGTTTCGTCGATGCATCGGCGACGTCAGCGATGCATCGGCGCCATCGGCGTGGAGAAACTCGGTCTCCACGTCGAGCTGCATCGCCGATGCATCGCGGCGATGCGCGCGAAAACAAATCCCAAGACACCCCCCCGGACAACCCAGGCAACTCATGCTGATGAGCGGCGACAAGACGATCTGCCCTGGACAACCCCTTAAACAACCCAGTGGGGATCTGGACAACCCCTATGGACAAACCAACTTGGACAAGCCTCCCCGGAAAAGTTCTTCCAGAAGATCCTTGGCGGCGAGCGATGGGGGAAGTGAGGAGGAGAATGCCTTCTCAGAAGGCTCGGAAGTCCCCCGGCCTTCCGAGAAGTTTCCCGAGCCTCCCCCGAAGATACCAACAACCTCTGAGGAGGCGCGAGGGCTGCTGAAGAGTCCCGCCCACTCCCGAGAAGGCCTTCTCCCTCTCGTTTCCCCCCCTCTCTCGCGCCGAGCTGCAGCAGCCCCCCCCCCTTCGTGGCCGACCCCGAGAGCTCCTCCTCCTCCTCCTCCTCCTCCTCCTCCTCCTCCTCCTCCTCATCCTATCCCTCCCCTCTCATGGCCTCGTGGCTCACGCTATTTTGGCCCAAGCGATCGCACGGCTGCCGACAGTCGGGGCGCCCGCCGCCCGCGAGGTCGGCGCCCCGAGGGGCCATCGCCGCTGCAGACGCCGCCGCCCTCGTGGGCGCGGCGGTCCGCGCGGCGCTGAGCGCTGGCGCCCGGCGGCGGACCGCTCGGGCCGGGCGAAAGGGGGGGATAGCAAAGGGGGGGGTTTGAGAATCAGCTCACGTAGCTGATTTTCCCGGCGCCTCCCGGCGCCGGAGGCGGCTATGCATCGAGGAATGGCCCATCGGTGGGGCCGAAACCAGCTGCATGCAGCAGATTTCGTAACCCCCCCTTTCCCTGTCCCCCCCTTTTCGTTCGGCCCGAACCGCGGGTGCAGTCGCGCGAGCGGCCGTGGCGGCAGCAGCTTCCGCTGTTGCCGGCCCGCCCTACAGCGACGGCGGCTGCGGGTGCGGGTGCGGCGGAGCGCGGCGATGGTGAAGTTCGTGGGCAGGCCAGCGGCGCCGCCTTGGCGGCCCAGGCGGCGCGGCGCAGGCGTCGGCGCCAGAGGCTGGCGACGGCGCGCCGGGTTGCTGCTGGGGCGACCGGTGCGGCCAGCGGGGGCGGTGGCCTTGCGCCCGCTGTGGTGGTTGCTGCTGCGGCCGCCGACGACGAAAACGAAGACGAATGAATGGACGACTCGTGGGCCGACGGCGGGAAGCCAGCTGCCTTGCCGTCTGGGGTGGCTGGTGCAGCTGGCGGTGCTGCTGGCGGCTTTGCGGCGGTCGGCGGGGAGGCCGATGGCGTCGAGGTGCCTGCCTCACCGATTGCGCCTGCGGCTCCCGCGGAAGCGACCGACAAGGCGATGATCCTGAGGTTGCTGACGAGCGTGTCGTCCAAGGACAGGCCTGGCCTTTTCATGGCGCCGGGCGTTGCGTTTGGCGTCGATGGGCTGCTTCCGCACGAAAGCAAGAGCGACGATATGCTCCGCCGCGGGCTGGTCGCGGCGTGGGGGGCGAGCGCGTTGCGCCATCATGCTCCTGGTTGAGGAGCTCGTGCAGCTCGTGAATTCCGTCTTCGCCGGCTTCTGGTAAGCCGTTCATTCGTTTGGTTTTACGCCTAGCCGCCGTTGCCTTTGCCCACCCTGGCGGCGAGTCCACATCTAGGCTGTGAACGCTCGTCTCACGCGGACGCTTCTCGCCCTCGTCGGTCTCTTTTTCTTCCTCCTCCTCCTCCTCCTCCTCCTCCTCCTCCTCCTCATCATCCTCATCATCCTCATCATCCTCATCATCATCATCATCATCATCATCATCATCATCATCATCATCATCATCATCATCATCATCATCATCATCATCATCATCATCATCATCATCATCATCATCATCATCCTGTCTCCCCTCTCCCTCCTCATCCTCCTTTTGCTCCTCACTGCCCTCCTGATATTCCCCCTCTTCCTCCTCCTCCTCCTCCTCCTCCTCCTCCTCCTCCTCCTCCTCCTCCTCCTCGTCCTCCTCCTCCTCTTCCTCCTCCTTCCCTGCCGCAACGCCTTCGGGCGTCACCGCTCCACCACTCGCGCGCGCGGGGGCCCCCGCGGCCACGCGCCCGGCCCACGCGAGAGCGGGGCCCCTGGACGCCAACGGGGGACCTTTTCCAGAGAAGGGGAGGAGGGGAGGCCAACTCCTACTATCCACCATCCTGAGGCCAACCGAGGAAAAGAAGGAAGTGGATGGGGCGGCGGGCCGCGCAAATGATGTAGAAGTTCAACGCTACATAGAAACAGGCGTGACGTCTTGTGTGTAACGAAATACATGTATACCCTTATCCGTAGCGCTGTAGTTCGTACTCCTCTCCGGCTTCGGACAGACGGGCCTCGCCGTACTGGTGCCGCGCGCTGGAGCCAGCACGCAGTGCCATCCAGCCTGCGGGCTGCGGCGGTTTCTCGTCCAGCTTCTCCACGACGCAAACGTGGCACGTCTTGCCAAGACTGCCCTGTAACTGCGCTTCCGATGGTGATCGGCTTTGTGCTAGTCCAAGTCTTGCGTGGGCCTCGGTGCTCGTCACGTAAAGATCGTAGTGCAGAGACTGGCCCTGGTAGCTCTGCTGGTGATCCCCGTAGCCCTGCAGGCGGCTCCCGTAGCCAAACGCATGGGGGTGGCCCTGGTAGCTCTGCTGCCGCTTCTTGTAGCGAGGAAGGTGGGCCTGGTACGGCTTCTTGTATGTCATGTAGCTCTGCTTGCGGCCCTCGGAGCGTCGTAGCGCAGCTTGTAGCTCAGATCGTCGGCAGTTCAGTTGGACTTGTTGCCCTGGTAGCTCAGCAAGTGACTCTACTTGCGGACCGCGTAGTCCAGGTTGTGACCCTCGTAGCTTTGCGGGTGGTCCTCGAAACTGAGCTGGTGGTTGACGATGTTCTGCTCCAGGTCCTATCAGTTCAGCTTATCGCTCTGGTAGCTCGTCAGGAGGCTCCAGTCTTTCTTCGGGTCTCGTGGCCCTCGCAGCTCAGGTGGCACAGCTGGTTGGTTGCATTGGTACTTCAGCTGGTTGCCGTTGTAGCCGATGCCGGGACCTGCGCCTGCTGGTGGTCGTCGTGGCCTTCGAAGCTGTACTTGTAGTCCTCGTAATTGAGCTGGTGGCCTTCGTAGGTATGCTGGAAGCTCTGCTAGCTCAGCAAGTGGCCCAGGAAGCTGTGTCAGTGGTTCCCACAGGGCAGGCTGTGGTCCTCGTAGCCCTGCGCGTGGTCCCCGTCGTATAGCCTGTGGTCCTCGTAGCTCAGCCAGTTGCCCTTGCAGCTCAACTGGTGGCCCTCGAAGCTCAGCAGGTGGTTATTGTTTCTCTGCTTGTGGTCCTCGCAATTGAGCCTGTGGCCCTCGGAATTCAGCTGGTGACCCTCGTAGCGTTGCTGGTGGTTCTGGTAGGTCAGGTGGTGGCCCTGGTACCTCTCCTGGTGCCTTTCGTAGCTCAGCTTGGGAACCTGGCAGTTCAGACAAAACCTTCTCAGGT